GTGATTGTGGGGTATTTGTAAGAAATTATGGGGATTGGAGGCGTAAATATCATACGGGATTGGTCTAATAAGTCGTAGATTTTGTGCCTTTATCGCCGTAATACCTTAGGAATGATTTAGGGATGTTTTTAGGGCATTGAGGAAGGAAATCGTAGAGGTTTTTGGTCTGGTGTTGGTGCGTAACAGCGATTTGCTGTAATTGTGATGATTTATGATGTTGATTCCATGAGTTTTGATGATTATATGATGACATGATTATTATGATGATTTTGATGAATGATGATGCACCTAATGAGTTTATTATGAGGATGATATTGACGTGTGCATCATGCATTCATATGCATTCCGGACTTTGGTCTAGGACCTTGGTTCTTGTGGCTTCAGTCCCATTGTGCGGATGTGAGGTATTTTGTTGTGCTCCGGTTCTCATGTAGAATCGATCCTATTGTCGTGGATCTATGGAGAGGTGATGGCCTAGTGTCCATCGAATTTTATTGATTGATACCACATGCATGAGTCTTGTTGCATTTGCATTTATGTGACAATTTGGTGTAATTTATAATGTTGCGGCCTTTGATGTTCCTTGATGATTCTGATGATGTTAGATGTGAAAATGACGCTATTTTATATATTGATTCTTATATTGATTATTATGAATCGTTTTACTCACCCTGCTTGTTTGAATGTTGTCTCCACGTGGGTAACGTGCGGATGACCAAGTTTAGCCGTGGATGTCGTCGAGGACTTTTTGAAGTTTTTGGGTCGTTGGCCATTGTGGTTGACTTAGAGGGTCTTGCTCTGATTGTGTAACATCATATTGGGGTCTTTGAGTTAAACCATATTTTATTGAGTGTTTGTTATGTTGATTTCCTTGCAGTGAAAAGAAAACTTTGGATTTTTCCTTTTTGAGTTTCGCTGCCTTTTGAGTAATTTTGGAAAAACCCGTTGTTTACGGAGCATTGACTATATTTGAATTATTGAGAAATGTGCACCCTTTTGAGATGATTTTATTGCGTTCAATATTTTACTCTGATAAATATGATTGATTTGCCATTATATTTGTGGGATAGAAAAGGGTGTTACAGGTAACACTTCCTTCACATCTGCACACAAACCACATGTTACATTTGCCTTAAATAATCTCTTATTAGTACCTTAAATTACAAAGAATCTGATATTTGTGAGTCAGTTTGCAAGAGAGAACAAGGTATTTTTTGAGTTTCATCCTAATCATTGTAATGTCAAATCTCATGCTACTTCTGAGGTTCTACTGCAAGGCACTCTTGGGAAGGATGGGCTCTATACATTTGGCAAGCTCACACCTACTTCAAGCTCCACCAATAAATCACTGAATGTGCACACGCATCAATCTTCATGTACCTACTGTTTCCTTAACTACTAATAGAAATAACATGTCTGGACTAGGACTTTCTCTGTATTCACAGTGGCATAACAGGTTGGGGCATCCTCATCATGAGGTTCCCAAAACCGTTCTTACAAATTGTAATGATCATGTACCAGTTAAATCTCAATTTGATTTCTGTTCTGCTTGTTGTTTGGGAAAAGTGCATAAATTACCTTCACGCACATCCACTACACAATACCATGCTCCTTTTGAATTGCTTTATGCAGATGTGTGGGGTCATTCACCAGTAGCATTTGTTGCTGGATACAAATACATGCTCACTATTGTTGATGCCTTTACCAAGTTTACTTGGGTGTTTTTAATGACTCACAAATCTGAGGTAACATTTATCTTCAAGTTATTCTTGGCTCACATTGCAACACAATTCAATCACACCCTCAAAGCCTTACAAACTGATGGAGGTGGAGAGTTTCAACCTCTCACTTCTATTCTGGTTGCACAAGGCATCACTCACAGATTCACTTGCCCTCACACTCACCATCAAAATGGTGCTATTGAGAGGAAGCATAGACATGTTGTGGAAACAAGTCTCACTCTATTGGCATAAGCATCTCTACCTCTCAAATTTTGGGATTATGCTTTTCAAGCAACAGCCTTTCTTATTAACAGTCTGCCTACTCATGTTCTGTCTATGAAATCTCCCTACCATTTGCTCTATAATGTTGTACCTGATTATATGATACTTAGAGCATTCGGATGTGCTTGTTTTCCCTATCTCAGACCATATAATCCTCACAAATTTGACTTCCATACCAAGGAATGTGTATTTCTTGGATTTTCTCCACATCACAAAGGGTACAAGTGCATGGCTTCTGATGGAAGGTATATATATCCAAGGATGTTGTGTTCAATGAATCAGGTTTCTATACATGCATACACTGCCCAAAGTTGTAACCTCAACCCCTACTTTATCTGCTTCCTTTGTCCCAGTTCCTCTTTCCTTCTCTACACCTATCTCATTTACCCAATCATCTTCTTCAAATTTGCCTCAACCTATTCCTCTAACTGCAATACCTATCAACACTTCCACATCTGTGTCACACTCACCTATTTCACAAGTATCTCCTCAAACCTCAATGTCCCAAACTCTTCTTGGCTCTTCATCAACAAGTCCCTCATCAGCCTCTAGCTCTGAACATCTGTCAGTTCATCCAATTTTCCCTAAAAACACTAATTATATGATTACCATATCCAAGGCTGGCATTGTGTAGCCAAGGATTCACCCTACTCTTCTCTTAACTGAACTAGAACCTACTTCCTATAAAATGGATCTCAAAGATCCAAAATGGTTAGATGCCATGACTGCTGAGTACAATGCCCTGTTAAATAATCAAACATGGACTCTCACTAACCTTCCTCCTGGCAGAAAGGCAATAGGGTGCAAATGGGTCTTCAGGATCAAACAAAATCCTGATGAATCTGTCCTTAAGTATAAAGTTAGACTAGTTGTAAAGGGGTTTCATCAAGTTCAGGGTTTTGATTTTCAGGAAACCTTCTCCCCTATGGTCAAACCTGTCACAGTCAGGGTGGTGCTCTCTATAGCCCTAACTAGGCAGTGGCCAATCACTCAACTAGATGTGAAAAATGCCTTCTTAAATGGCATTCTCACTGAGGAAGTCTATATGCAACAACCTCCTGGCTTTGTACACAATGATTCAACTTCTGTTTGCAAACCAAACAAAGCCATATATGGCTTAAAACATGCACTTAGGGAATGGTTTGAAAGACTTACAAGTGCTCTCCACTCACTTGGGTTTGTGACCAGTAAATGTGACCCCTCCCTATTCATTTTGTCTACATCTACCTACACTATTTTTATGCTAGTGTGTGTAGATGACATCATTATCACTGGCAACTCTCCTACTCAGATTCAAAGCCTAGTAACCAAACTTCATAATCAGTTTTTCCTTAAACAGCTTGGTGACTTGAGCTACTTTCTAGGCATTGAAGTCTCCAAAACACCTCAAGGTGGTCTTTTCCTCTCTCAAACAAAATATGTGAGAGATCTCTTAGTTAAGACTAACATGAGTGAAGCAAAGAGCTTGCCCACCCTTATGGTTTCAAATCTTAAACTGACTAAAGAAGGGTCAGATTACCTCCAATATCTTACTTACTACAGATCTGTGGTAGAGGCTTTACAATATGCAACAATTACCATACCAGAAATCAACTTTGATGTCAACAAAGCCTATTAGTTTTTGTCCCAACCAATGCAAAGCCATTGGGTGACAGTAAAGGGAATACTCAAGTATCTCAGAGGCACACTTCACCATGGTCTGCAAATGTCACCTTGTACTGTCTCTCCTTCTGTTTCCATCACAGCATATTCTGGTGCTGATTGGGGTTCTGACCCTGATGATAGAAAATCTACGTCAGGGCCTTGTATCTTCATTGGCTCTAATTTGGTCTCATGGTGGTCTAAGAAACAAACTCTAGTAGCTAGATCCAGCACTGAAGGAGAATACAAAAGTTTATCCAACACTGCTGCAGAGGTTCTGTGGATTAAGTCTTTGCTAGCAGAACTTCAGATACCATCTCAAACTCCTCTTCTGCTTTGTGACGACTTAAGCATTGTGGCTCTCTCACATAATCTTGTCCTGCATGCCAAAACTAAGCATATGGAATTGGATATCTTCTTCCTAAGGGAAAAGGTTCTTAACCACACATTGGTAGTTAAGCACTTTTCAACTGTTTCACAAACAACTGACATTTTGACTAAATCTCTCTTAGCTCTCAGATTTCTCACTCTCAAAGATCACTTAAAGGTTGTGGAAAAATTATCTCTTAAAGGATGCAAATGACTCTCTCTCAGAGTAGTAGCATTTGAAGGGGAAATATTAGAGTATAAGCAATAGATTAGTTTAAGTAATGTTGACCTGACAGCATTTAGGCTAAATCTGTTATAAGTCATAACTAACTGTTATTAGTTATGCTGAGTTGTACTTTTCTGTTACTTTTCTGTTATGCTAGCTGTCTATATATAGCATATTCATTGTATCAATTCAGTTGAGAATTAATCAACACAAACTATTTCTCCTTAAATATGCTTCTCTTCCAAAACTCTTTTACGCCCAACCGTACTCACACATCGATTGAAAGGGCATGATGAACGCCCAACAGTTGAGGTGTAATTGAGAAGGTATCACCAACTGCTCACCATTCTGGTTTACATGAAATTGATAAATACAAAAATGTTGTACCTATGATTACACCAAAATGCAAGCAAATTCTCAAAACCATAGGAAAAATGGGGGTGGAGAATCAGGAGAGGGAAAAATAGATCACTAGCTTTTTTCAGGGAAGAAACGTGTTCTGATCTTAATAATTTCATAGTTATAATATTACTATAATTTAGGCGAGGATTTACATTATCAAATCCGCTCACTATTACAAGCCAGGGTCACTTGTCAAAGTTGGAATCTATTTGTAGAGTTTCTGTTTACAATATCTACAAAGGCATCCAACATATTATTTGGCGCAAGCTACCCATTCTAAATTCTATATTCAATACTCAGCAAATATTTTTAGTATTTAAGAACTAAGATGGCCAAGTTCAGAGCTTGTTCTTGAGACATCATTTGTCTTTTGTTTTTGAATCTTCTTTTTCCTTGCCTTTGGACGTCTCTGCCATGAACCTCCTTGGAGGAGCTGAGCAGACCGGAACTACTGATCTGATTCTCACAGCTGGGGCCATATTGAATACAGGAGTGGCTGTTCTTATCATGCCCGGACTTCGTGGGGCACCTGTTCTCAACCTTGAAGCAGCAGCCATAGGTACTTCCCTATGTTGCACTGTCGATGAAGTAGGGCTTATAGTTCTCACCGTGGAATATGAAGCTGCTGGCGTTCTAAAACATCGGTCGGAAGTTGCTTGTGGTCGTGCTATGGCAATCCTGGATGGGTTTTGCAGCTCAATGTTAACTGGTTTGTGAGCAAATCTCATGCTCCTATGAGAATCCCACTCGGATTCCCCACCTTGTTCTCCTCTCAGTTCATCATTTCTACTACTACTGTTGCTTCTAGAGCCCTCGTGTTTATGTCTCTCGATCTCGGGAGCTGGTGATGGGAATCTTGTCTCATTGCTAAAGTTGCAAGCTGTTGTGGGGTCTTCTGTTTTTTCCTCTTGTATCTCTCTAATGATTACGGTTGACCTCCCCCTGTTTAACTCATGAACAGTTTGGTTTGGAAAGTAACATGGAGGCCTTGGAGTGGTAATCGAAAATTTTGGTCTCATGGGAACTGATGCTAACTCGTTAGCTGGAAAATAAAGATAGTGATCTGGCGGGATCACAGATGGCATTAACGGATAAATCTGCGGAGCGGGTGAAATAATTGGCTGAATGGTTAGTGCCAACAGGCGATTTTGTTGCTGCATGATTTGTTCGTGCTGCCAAATCTGATAAAGAACCAACTCAGGTGAGAAGTTAGAGATTTCACAATGCTGGTATTGCATAGGATACATCCCTGAAGTTGGCTGGGTTGACACCAATGAGGCTCTATTGGAGTTTTGCCATCTATGTTGATGATCACTTTTCGGTAAGTTCTTTGATCCAGATGAATGTAAACTCGCAAGGACACGGGCAATAATGACATGTTCTTGTTCTTCATTGTTTTTAGACTCGGAAGAAAATGAGGATGAAGTTGAGGAAGATAACTGATTCTCTGACACTAGAAATAAATTTAGAACAAAATCAGTCCTAGAAAGAAAAGAAGAAGCACAAGCCAGGTAATGTCAAATAAAAAAGAATAACAGGTAAATTGAAAATAAGACAATGAGGTTATACTTAAATTGGATCCACTGCAGTCGCAAAACGCACGCATTCAAGTTATTATTGACCATTCAATCAAGATCTAAAGGTTCAATAATATACATATTTTAGTTTTAATTTTATAATTTTAAATATCAAATTTAAATTTCTATCATCTGATCTTGATCAAAAGGATAATAGTATTTTGAATGTGTGAATGCATGATTCACTGACGGCAAGGAAACCCAGTCCGGTTATACTGCCCATGACTCTAAATTGGAAATATAAAGAAGATATAATTACATTTGTAAAATGCTCACATTTTCTCAATGCAGACCAAGCAGCTATTGCAGCATTTTTCTGAGCCTGTTTCTTGGTCCTAGCTGGATCGCCAGAAAAATGCATTCCTGCAATCTCAACTGTACAATAGAAGTTAGTGACAGGACCTGATCCAGCACGAACAGTCCTATAAACTGGAAGGTTCAGTCCAGCTCTGTGGGCAGTTTCCTGGAGCAAATTTTTGTATACTCCTGTCTCATCCTGTAAACATTCAAACAACAATTGTTACCTTTTAGTATATATCGAACGAGTTGTGATAGAACCACTCACTCTAAAACTCTTTCTAACACTCATTCTCTTATTGGACAAAATTTATGCGGACCCTACGATAATCTGTTCTAGTATTCAAAAGCATTATACATGAAATTACAATTTTTAAACAGTTACACACTTGTCAATCAGGTAATTAGACTTAGAAGAAAGAGAGGAACATAGATGATAACTGAAAAATTGGGAGAGATGATTATAAAAATTCCTCACCAGAACTCTAGCTGCCAATGTTCTAGAAGGACCTCTCTTTGCCAGTGTGTTCAGAGCTACCTCAGCTGCTGCATGTTCAGCCTGTCTAAGAGTAGAGCAAAACGTAGGGCTTTCAAAGGTCTCTCCATTGAAGTTTACAGTTACCTTGAAACGAGGAGCGTGATCTGGCCCTTCGCGAATACATGAATAGGCTGGCAAGTTAAAACAGCTTCTTTGAGCCAATTCTTGCAACCGGTTCTTATACATATCTGCACCGTGCATGCAAACAAACTTGCCAGCCTAAGATAAAATTAATTTATTTTTTTAATAATCAAAGGAATGTTTACATTTCTGTTAAACTATTTTGATAATCGACAACACAACAGATTCTCTTCTAGTGAAGCAATTAATAGATATGATAACTAACAATACTCCAGTGTTGTCCACGGCGGAGAGCCAAAATCCCGCCATACCAAACACTTTGCAGCGCCGTTATAGCGGATTATGGCGGAAAAAACCCGCAATATTAGCCGATATTTACCATTGCGGCGAGCCCAAAAACCGCCACATATATCCGCCAGATCGTGGCAATTGCGGATATTTGATAACACTGCAATATTGTGAATATATATGGTAAGGAATTTATCACATGCTATGATATTATATAGCCTCTACATTTATTTCTCTCTAAATTTTAGATAAAGTGAGTTGAACAGTGTAAAAATCACGTTTAGATTCAAAAGTATAAATCTAACTTCAAGTAGAATCAATTCTGAAAAAGCATAATCAAAATTCTAGTTTAGAGCAACCAAACACATGAGAATCAATTTGACACATCCATAATCAATTCTAAATACTCCAAATGTGAAACCAAATATACACATAATCAGATATATCAAACACGAAACAATCTTTCAATTTGAAGTTTCAGTACTATTGAAGAAACAATAAATAAAGCAACTAAAAAATGAAAAAAAAGAAAGAGATTCGCAAAAACTATCGACTGAACCGAAATTGACAAGGATCAGATCCCATTTATGAGGAATTCAGAGAAAAAAGAGGTTGCAAATTGCATTGATAGATAAAAGTAAAAGAAAGTTTGATAGATAAGTAAGAAAGCATAAAAAGGTGGAATCGAACCTCTTAGCGCGAAAGGATCTAAGGGAGCAAGGTGAAGCAGAGAGTTAGGCGTCAAATTTTCACTTGACAAAAAATTTCCTCAGAAAGTGACGGAAAGTTAGGACCAAACTGGATAATAATAATAATTATTATAATTAATGTTAATAGAAATTATATTAGTGCTCCAATCCCAAACAGTTTTTTTGATTTTTTTCACTATCTTCTTAAGGTTTGAAATCATTTTTATTCATATCTAATGGTCTTACAAGAATTGGAGCACACACTAAATGTAATCCATATAAAAGCATGGGAATTTTTTAATGCCCTATGTATTATTATGTATTATTAAGATATCACGTGAATGTTTTGAGATTTTAAAGATGTATTTTCGGATGCATACTGAAAAATTAAACTTTAACTTAATATAAAATAATTACGGAAATATATTTCTGTGTACATTATAGAGATGCATCTTCAGACGGTATTTGTTCTAAAATGCGTTAGAATCCATTTTTCCTCCCTTCTAAAAAAACAACTCTAAATATTTTTCAAACTCTCTCAACTCACATTTTCTAAAAATCAATCAACTAAGTTCAAAGCTTTTTCCATCAACATCAAAGAGATTATTCAACACTAAAGTAAACTCAAAATTCGTAAGTTTTTTATTTTTGTAATTTTTTTTTGTTTTGAGTTTTTAAACTAGTAGAAATTCATGATTAGGTTAAGAAATAGATAATTTTTGCATGATTGATAGTTTATAGATAGTGAAAAATGTGTTTAAAGGTTAGATCAATGTATTATTTTTTGGGGTTTTATGGTCTGCATTACCACCATTGATGAAGTTGAATGTTGTAGGTAGTTCTAGAGATACATCTACAAAAAAATTCAACTTTTGGATTCCCAAGAACCGGAGATGTATCTCCGTAATTTATTTGTCTGTTTTTTTTGTTGCTTTTCTTACTTGTAAGGTTGTTTGTAGTAATTGTGTGACATTTGTCTGGTTTACTTACAGACATTATGACTGATAGAGACGAAAAACTCAGGCACGAGAGAATTGCACGGTATAGATCTGTCCGAAGGGAAAAGAGTCAAGTTTCAGAGACTCTTAGTCCCTCTAGCCTGATTCATGCGGAGGCATCGACTTATGGGGTTCATATATATCCACCTTCTTCTTCCCGTAGAAGACAGGTGTCACCTACTGGCGCATCACTGCCTTCATCTTCTCGTAGGCGACAGATTTCACCTATTCAATCACCAAAGATACCCGAGTCACCAGAGGTACCCAAGGCACCAGTGCCACCCCAGGCACCAAATGGACCTCATGTTGATGATTTAGTGCCACCTCGGGCTGATGAGGTTGATGAGTTAGTGTCATCTCAGGTTGCTGAGGTTTATGAGCCAATGCCACCTCAGATATTTGGAGAAGACCCTATAAAGTTGTCATTATTGTCTCTTTACTCGGACCATATTTCCAGACGTATCTGGGATTGAGAGGTAAATTTAGTTGGATTCATTCTTTTTAAATTACGTTTATTATTATATTACAAATTTTTGACATAGATTTATTTTTTTGCAGGATTGTGATCCGTTCAAATTCATTAACCATGGACATAAGATTACTGGCTTGCCTCTGTCAAATGACGAGTGGTTTCAGATTGCTTTGTCCCTATCTGAGATGAAGGACTTGTGAAAGATCGATTATGTTACGGTCAACCATAGGATGCTTAATGCATTCGTGGAAATATGGCACACTGAGACCTCATCATTTAATCTTCCACTTAGTGAGATGTCTATCACACTCAACGATGTGTCGGGTTTGCTGCATCTTCCGATAAGGGGAAATTTCTAAATCATGGGAGGATTAACAAAGATGAGGCACTCGAGTTGATGGTAGACTATCTGGGAGTTGACCTAGAGGCTGCCTTGAGGGAGATGGAAAAAACCAGAGGGGATCATGCTAGGTTTGAATTCCCGAAAAAGGTATATACATATGAGCTCCTTAAAGCAGAGTAGGCTAGAGATGATGATGAGCATGTGGGGCTGCATAGAGCGTATTTTATGCAAGTCTACCTGTTATATTTGGTTTGCACTGCTATTTTTAGGATAAAAGTGTCACTTATATGGATTTCGTCTACCTACGGTACTTTGAGGACTTCGAGCGAATCCATGAGTAAAACTAGGAGGCCACTTGTTTGGTCTACTTATACTCTAAGTTATCAGAGGGTTGTAGGTGGAAGACAAAGCATGTAATAGACAAAAAGAATTATTTATTTCAAGCAAATGATCAAACTATTCTTGAAACAATTTTGAATCGCGGCACATCCAAAGATAACCGAGAGTCCATGCGTAAGAAGTATCAAGGGTCCACGAAAGTGAAGAGAGCTCACTTACAGTCTTTACATTGAGATATTGAAGTTGTTTGCATTAAGGATAATGAAAGAGATTATGAATATTTTGCAAGAACTATGACTACTGCAATCAAGACAACTGCTCAAGGTGAGAAGATGGAGCAAACCACCATTGTTGAGAAGGTGTTGAGGTTTATGACCATAAAATTAAATTATGTGTGTGCTTCATAGAAGAATTGAATGATAACATAACCTTGTCCACTGATGAGCTACAAAGTAATCTCTTTATGCATGAGGAAAGGATTAAGATCACTCAAGAAAAGGAGGATGAACATGTGTTAAAGATTGCAAGTTATGGTTGTGGTGGTATCAACAATCGAGGTAGGAGATGTGATGGCTTTCATGGTCGTGGTAGAGGAAGACTAAGCAGAGATCAAATCCAATGTTACAATTTCCACAAGATATGACACTATCAAAGTGAATGTCCAAGTTAGCAAGAGAACAATGCCAACTTTGTTGAATTCAATGAAAGTGAAAAGATGTTACTCATGGCTCAAAAGGAAGACATAAAACCCAATAATCAAGTGTGGTTTCTTGACTCAGGATGTAGTAATCATATGGTTGGAACAAAAGAATGGTTTTTCAATTTTTATGAGAGATTTTGTGAATTTGTCAAGTTAGGAGATGATTCCAAGATACAAGTAATGGGAAAGAGAAATTTGAAGTTTTACATGAATGAAATTATTCAAGTAATCATTAATGTGTATTACTTGTTAGGGTTGAAGAATAATCCTCTAAGTGTTGCCCAACCAATTCAATAGGAACAAACAGTGATGTTCAAAGAGGTTGGAAGGTACATCATGGTAATAGAGGATTGATCACGGGCACAAAGATCTCATCCAACAAAATGTTTGTTGTGTCTACACCTATTGTTCTTCCCATGTTCATGAAGATTTCTTCAGATAATGTCACACACTTGTGGCATTACAGATATGGCCATCTGAGCTTTAAAGGCCTTGACACACTCAATAAGAAGGAGGTGGTGAAGGGAATTTCTAGTTTTAAGAACATGGAGGAGACTTGTTCATATTTTTTGATGGGAAAATAACATAGAGAAGCCATACCAAATCAAGCCACGTGGAGATCCAAAGAAAAGCTTGAGTTAATCCACTCTGATGTGTGTGGACCTATCAGGCATGCATCAAATGGTGGGAGCAGATATTTCATTACACCCACAAATGACTTTAGTAGAAATCCATGGATTTACTTTTTGCTTTAAAAAATTGGTACTTTTGATGTTTCAAACAATTCAAAGCTTTAGTATAAAAAGAGTTAGGCATCTACATCAATGTATTAGGACAAATAAGGGAGGAGAGTTTACATCAAATTCTTTTTGTGACTTCTGCATTTTTCATGGCAACAAGAGAAAATTGACAACTGCCTACATTCCACATCAAAATGGAGTGTTAGAGAGAAAGAATAGGACTCTGATGAATTTGATCAAAAGCATGATGGTCAGTAGAAATGTTCCTAAGAGCTTTTGGCCTGAAGCAACTAAATGGGCAACATATGTAACCAATAGAATTCCAACATTATTTGTGAAGAACAAAACTCCAGAAAAGTCATCGAGTGGTGTAAAACCCTTTGTGCATCACTTCAAGGTATTTGGGTACATAGCTTTTGTACACATTCCTGACGTGCACATAAAAAAGCTAGGTGTTAAGAGTACCAAGTGTGTTCTCTTGGGAGTTGGTGAAGAATCAAAGGCTTACAAGCTCTATGATCCTGTGAATAACAAGA